GAGTCAGTATCTGTTAACCAAACATTAAATACACAATCATGTTTGCTTAACTTAACATTGTTAGCTGCCAGACTCAAATACGGATAAAGCTTGCTGCCCCAATTTCCTGTGCTACCCAGTCAGGAAAAGACGTGAAGTTTACTTTTGCCTGTGTTTGTCCTCAGGGGCACGTCTTTCCAGAAGACTCATAAACCCGGGGCCTACTATTGGCTGATGGACAAATTCTGAAATCCATCCTTGCACATAATTCAGCCATATCCATTGTACTTCATTATGCTGGGAAAAAAAAAAAAAAGTCTGTCTCACCATGAAGCTGTAAAATAGGAAATGATGGGGTTCTAAAGGTTAAGAACAAAGTGGAAACAACTCTAGACCTTCTGGGTATGCATCATTTTTCTCTATCCATATACATCACTTTCCCTATTTTGTAAAATGAAAATCTATAAGGTCCCTTCTAACCCTTCTCAGTGATTCCAGTTGAGTCTATGTACTTGTGCTGAACACTGCCCTAAAATTTACTATTAATTATTTAATTTTTAATTTACCCTTCAAATGCCAGACTGTGGAAAGAGGCAATTTTGTTTTCACAGCACTACTGTCAAGGAAGTGGAATTATCCCCTTTTTATTGATGAAAAAAAGTTAGTTAAGAAACACCCTTAGTGGTAGAAAGTGACATTGTTGGGTTATGCAGTTGAGTATGACTATACCCTATACCACTGTGCTGCTGGCTGCTTCACTGCAGAGTGCAGGGTAACTATGGTTTGTACAGAATTTCTGCTTTTATATATATATATTTGTTTTAGGTGGACACAATATCTTTATTTTTCTGTGGTGCTGAGGATCAAACCCAGTGCCTCATGCATGCTAGGTGAGCACTCTACCACTGAGCCCCAGCCCCAGCCCCAGAATTTCTGCTTTTTAAAGCAGATTATTAGTCATTGTCCTTTATAGAGGGGACGAGTAAGGAAATACAGTCCCCTACTACCAGGTGAAAGCTGCTTTCTTCAGGAACACATATCACAGAAATAGCAGAAAGTCTTTTGAATCAGTTGCTGTCTTGCTATGTAAATGTTTACTCCACAGTGTCCTGCATGGATGAGTTTATGGGTTTAATATGAAACTCAAGTGCAAGTGCTGCATCTGATGACTTAGTAAATTTGCAGTTTTGACTAATTTTGTACTCTCTGAGCTGCACTTTAAAATGTAACCTATTTCTGTAAGTCAGACATTTTCCAGAGAGGCTGGAGAGTGAAAGAAGTGTTTAAAAAAAAAAAAGTTCTGTTATAATCTAAGTTTAAAATCTAATCTAAGTTTAGAATCTGGTGGTTATGGTCAGATTATGTAGTTGGACAACTAAGAACCTGGAGTCATCTGTTCATCAAAAAATGTGCTGTTTGGCTTAACACTAAGGGCGTGGCTCAATAAGTAAAAAATATGGAAAACCCAAGTGTAATTTTAGCAGAAGGAGGTCAACACTGGATAAGAGATACTGGGTGTCATGCTAAAGTTAAAAGGCATTGAGCTGCAAGTCACACTGATACCAGGAAGCTACTCAGTGGAGCAGGGAATGCCCTTAGAAAAGCACAGCTCTCAGATGTTTCCAGATTTTCCATGGTCATTAAGGAAGAAAAAAAGGAACCTAAAACAAAAAATTCTATTTGAAAATGTTGATGTTCACTTGAAATGAAAATTTTGTCTTTGGTGATGTTATTCTTTTAAAATGAGGTGGTTTAGGCAGCCAGTCTCCTTACCTAGAATTGGACTTCAGCACTGCTCACGCCCTGGGACTCCATTGTGGAAGTAAACCCAGGAGAGGATTTGTGGGGCAGCAGGGTCAGAAAGTTGCTTTCTTAAAACTTCCCATCCAAGTCATTTGCCCTTTCTTATCTCACATTTCCTAATAATTTTATGTCTTTGGAAGTTTAACATATAGCTCTCTAAAAACAAATCACTGTAATGTTGAGCCAAACCTATTATGACTATATATATATATGTATGTATGTATGTATGTATGTATATATATATATATACATAATATATATATATATATACACACACACACACACACACACACACACACCACCTGTATCACACTCCATGCTTCATCACATCCAGAGAGTAAAACTGTCTAATTACAAATGATTCACCTCCTTCTCCATAAAATTCTCCCAGCTCCCAGTGGTCTGCTTCCCAAGACTGGGTTAGAGTTTGCCCAACTTTCATAGATGGTATTAGTGCAGACATCATGCCACAGCTGAGGTCACAAAGAGGAACTGTCATGAAGAATACAAATCCTTTGGCTGGCATATCATGTCATGATCAAAGGATTCTGTTTGTAGTGGTTCTACACTAATATTAAGTTCTTGTTTATGCCTATAATCCCAGCAACTAGGGATGCTGAGGCAGGAGGATTGCAAGTTTTGTGGCCAACCTGGGCAATTTAGTGAGACCCTTTCTCAAAAAAAAAGGGGGGGGCTTGGAATATAATTCATTTATATAGTATCCCTGAATTTAATCCTCAGTACCACTAAAAAATGGGGGGAAAAAAAGTTCATTTCTGAGAAAATGGATATAACTACTTGTATACAAACACAAGCTCAGATTCTGTATGTGCATGTGTTGAGGTCAGAGAGTTGCTAAGATTAAGGAATACTGGTCTTGCATTTGATACCTTCAAAATAGACTACAGATATTATGAAGAAATCTTACAAGGAAAAGCTTTAGCAATACAGGGAAATCTCCCCGTTTGTCAAGAAAAATGCTTTTGACACTGTTAGGTATGCTCTGGGAGCATAGAATAAAGCTTTTTGTCAGAGCTTTAAAGATGGAGGCTTTAAAATTATATATATAAATTTATATATTTTATATATACCTTCACCTTACTTTTATGTGGTACTGAGGATCTAATCCAGGGCCTCATGTGTGCCAGGCAAGCGCTCTACCCCTGAGCCACGGCCACAGCCAAAGATGGAGGCTTTAGATCAAATAGCAAACTATGGAGTCATTGTAAAGCCACTTGCCTTTTACTACCAAGAAATAGAGCCAGGGTACTTTGAACATGAATTTAAAAGATATATATCCTGAGACTGGGGATATAGCTTAGTGATAGAACACTTTCCTGGCATGCACAAGGCCCTGGGTTAAAAAAAAAGCATCAGATGTATACCCTAAAAATAAAGGACAGTCAATGCCTGGGGAAGTTAAGAATGCTCTCACTCTCCCCAAATTCCTCCAGGCCAGTGAACTTTTTAAATATGGTTCAGGAGACTGTTGTCACTAACAACCATGTGAATCCAGGTAAGTACTTACTTCAGTGGAGAGCCTGGTTAAGGGGAAAAATGACCTTTATTCCTTTAGTCAGTGGTAGCAGCAGTCAGGATTTCCTGATGCATTACTTTCCAGGAAATCCCAACTGCCCAGCAACAAGGGACTAAAAACTTGTTCTGAAAAGCTTTTTATGTTCTGCAAAGTTAAATTAGACATACATGGAAACCACAAACACATAGCACCTGGTTAAATAAATTTTGGCTGAATAAAGGCCAGGCTATTTGCAAAAGGAAATCTGGAAAACATTTGAGTGGCTAACATTACTTATTTTATACTTTTCTCTCTTTAGGAAAAAAAAAAAAAAAGTGTTTGGTTTTAGAGAAAAAAAAAAAAAAAAAAAAAAAAAAAAACCCCAGAATTTTACTGTGAGTGAAGAAAATAAGTTCAATTACTTTCCAAATCAAATCTTAAGGGGCTATGTAGACTGAGGCGCTATCATGGAGTGATTGTAGCAACACTTAATACAGAAATTGGTAAACAAAAAATATTTCCCATACATAGAATGGGATGTGAGACGCACTGAAGAGGTCATATAAACATTGTTCTCCAAATGTGGAATAAACTATCACTGGTAAGTGATAGTTAAAGTAATTTCTGATCTAATAGATCTGAGTGCCAGCCTTCATGCTACTGGGAAATTATGCTGAACCTACATCTGAGTACGTATGTGACTTATGAGTTTCTCCCCAAAGGGAAAAAAAAAAATCTCATTTTGTAGAAATTGATTATGTTGAACAATAAGAAATTGCTAATTTCATAGGTTAAAAACTGTCAAAAGCAGCAATTTCATATGATTTAACCTTTCATTTCTTTTTTTTTTTTTCTAAAACAGGTCATTGGAGAAAGGGGTGAGGTGGGGAGAAACAGATAATAAACGTCATTAGGATTCAGAAAATAAAACACCTGATCAGAATCAGTGGGTTCCCAAAGGGAACTTGAAAACACTATTGGGAGTTGTATATTGAAACTAACTATGAATCTACAAAAGGTTTCACAATTGACTATTCATCAGAGATAGGTGTATAAAAAGTTTTAGGGATGGGTAAGAAGGCAACGTGGGAATAGCATGGAAGATTTGTCCTTATCCAAAACACTACAACATGGAAACAACAGCATATCCTAAATTGTAGACACAAAGGTAGGGATTAAGAACTGAATTCTCAAGAGATGCTCTCAGTCACTGTAAAAGATAAATGAAAACAAAGTTATCATAAAAAATAATAACAGTCTATCTTTTTCACGTATTCAGGTTATTAACAAATGGACCAAAACAAAATCTTGGAAATCGGTTTCTTTTAATGATTTATTGTCTCTGCAACATAGCATCATAATTTGTTAAATGAACAAGATCTGCCACTGAATCTTGCATGTTAAAAAATATATATAAAACCTAAGGAATTTTGGTTAACTAAAAAATTTATCTATTTGGAAAACCAAATATCCTAAAACAGGAAAGATATCCTAAACTCTGTAAAAATCTATATCATACATTAACATGAGGGCAAGTTGTGAGAACACAACAATCTTTGAAATTATTAAAAACCTAGAAGTCCTTACACATTAGCTACTACTCAATTCTGGATTTAGTGACTGGTCCCTAGGTAATGTAATATATATAAGGTTGCCTCAAGATACATAAGAGCACAAACAATAACAAAAGGAAACAAGTAATAAGTTCTAAAAGACATAACATCCCATATCAGTTTTTAACTTTTGACAATTCTTTCTGGGAAAACAGTTCTTAAGATATTTCATTCTGTGGGGAATTTAAAAATGAAAGTTTATCTAATATTTTTTATAATACTAAAGTGTACAAAGTGCAACATATAACAAATATAAATGCCAAAGGCTAAATATAGAAAAATAGTACAAAATTTATATAACAAAGCTATTCCAACAAAGTCATCATCTATAACTATATATTCCATCCTATAATCTCATAAATCAAAGCTCTTAACTGTCTGGACTCATATGTGACTGTGTTCTTTCCAATATGAATTCTTTCTTCTTCCAAGGGTTGTTCTATAACAGCAGGTATGTTTCTGCCATAAAGTTCACAGTGTTCTAGAAACTGCACACATTCTTGAATAACATTGTCACGAAGCATGATTGTGTGCTTTGACATGTTTTCTAATAAGGACAGGAAGCATCTTTTGGCATAATACCAGGTATCAGTTCCTAGCTTTTTACTGTAAGGTTCCAAGCTTTTGATAACTCGAGAGATACCAAAGTCATAATTTCCTTTGGCACAATAAAGTGTTCCTATCACCAAATTCACAATGCAGAGATGGTAGATTTTCCTGTCTGGGTCATCATAGGACAGCTGCTCTTCCTCCTTTTCAATCTTCCTCATCAGCTCCTCTGCTTCTTCATTTTGACTTGTCATAATATAGGAAACACAGAGGTTAGCTAATACAATAGCACTGACATTCAGGATGTTATCATAGTGCTTCTTGACAATGGGTTCATAGAAACCAATGGCTTCTTTGTATTTGTTCTCCTGCATGAACAGAACATGAGCCACATTCAACTTCCACACATCATGGTCATTACAGAATTCCACAGATTTGCGGAAAATCTTTTCTACCATCAAATAATTTTCAAGATTCCAGTAGATCTTTGCCTGGGCCATCAGCACAGGAATGTATTTCTCAAGGGCTTCATCATATTCATTCACCACCTTTTTGACAGCTTCTTCATCTCTATTGTGTCTTGCTTCCTGTACTTGTATGGTAAGTTTACGAAGCTGCTCAGTCAGCATCCCTGCTAGGCCATCAAGCTTAATGAAAGCTTCTTCAGGAGCTGTCTGGCAAGTGATCAGGGCATCCAAGAAGTCATAGAGATAGGGTGTGAGGAATTTATAAGTCAAATGGGCATTTTCTGCCAGGACATCTGCTGCCAGGTCAAAATACTCATATTTACAGTAGAGCAGCAAAAGATTGCCAAAAGTCTCTGGGGGGAAGGGGTTCTGTTGGAGCAAAAACTGTAGCTTCTCAAACCCTTCTGTAGGTTTGGCATCCATATTCATGAGTGCCTGGTTGTGCAGGGTCACAGGGTCCAATTCTTCCTCTGCCCTAGGTGGCATGTCAGTGAGAGCTTCCTGGGCTGCCTCATAGTTTCTCAGCTGGTATTCTATGGCTGCCTTAAGGTTGAAGGCTTCCACCAGAGCAGTCTGGTGGAGGACTAAAGTGTTGCCAACACTGCGAACATCAATGCCCTCCGTGGTCATGCCCACACCAAGCTCTGGGTGCTGACGGATACCACGCTCAATAATGTCGGCAATATGCTTCAGAGCCGGGGCATAGTGCCTGTTACTATAATAGGCCAGTGCCAAGTTGTAGGAAAGGTCAGGCTGGTAGCCTGAAGCCTGCAGGGCCGCAAAGAATTTGGCACAGGCAGCTTCGTAGTGTCCCTCCTTGTACAGCAAACAACCCAGGTTGATCTGACCATCAGGCTCATTCTCACTTCCACTCTCTTCCCCCCCTTCCTCACTCAGCAGCTGCTCCACCAGGCTCCTGGCCCCTGGCAGGTCACCCTCACTGTACTTGATAGCAGCTTGCAGGCGGAGGACCTGGCTGTGGTAGGCGGGATTGTCCAGGAGGAGGAAGGCCACCCGCGTGGCCTCTGGATAAAGGCCGGCCTTGTACAGAGCCTGGGCCTGATACAGGCGGTACTGCTCGAGTTCTGGGTGCAGCTGGCCCAGCTGCTCATAGCACTCAGCGGCCAGCGCGAACTCCTGCAGGCGGTAGTAGCAGTAGCCCAGCAGCGACAGGCCGGCGCGGCTCCTGGGGCTCCGCTGCAGCTCTGCACCCAGCAGCTGCACCGCCTCGGCATAGCGGGAGTCGCGGATGAGCCGGTACACGACGGCGGTGAACTCCCCGTCGGGGATCTGCGTGCTGCTCAGCCCCGCCATAACTGCCAGGATTGCGATGCTTGCTGGTTTCCTAGGCAACCAGACCTCCGGAAACGGAAGTCGATCGGAGGTTTACCCTGCCGCGGAAGGAGCCGGTTAGGAATAAAAAGGAAGCACTGACTGAGTCTCAACTTCTGGTTTCGTTTTGGATGACTCAGGACTGAGTAGTGGCAGGGAGCTGGGCTAGCGAGACGAAATTCTTCAGGCCGTTCAGTGGCGTAAACTCCACTTCCCGGCATGCATCTTTTCAGTCGCGCGGGATCTCGGGGCGTTGCCGCTCTGCATGCTGGGAGGCGTTATTCTGTCTTTATGGGTTAGGCGCTTGGAGGGATGCGGTGTGAACAGCCTTTATTCCTCCTTTAAAATGAAGATTGTATATTGTGTTTCTATTATGCCTCCTCGGTCTCGTGTGGTGGAGTAAGGTTTAGGGTCCGAGGTTCCTTGCAATGTTCAGTATTCATCCTGTGATGCAAAGAAGTGGTTTCATTTTGCGTTTTATTTTTATTTTTTTTTAATTAGGAACTGGATGGTAAAAGAAGGTTATCTTCTTGTAATAGGCCTGGAAGCAGAGTAGATTCTTTTTATGTTGCCCTGAGGGCACACTTTCTAAGAACAGATTAGTACAATTAGCAGGAGTCCTTATTTGGTCGTGTGGCGAGGTTGGCCAGAGAAAAAGTCCTGTGCATCTTAACTGGTAGTGAGAGAGAATTGAGTTTTAGATCCAAGCATCATTTCTCACCTCCTCTTTTTTTTTTTTAATGACAAGCATTACTGAGTGAATGTTAGCTGTTAAACCTGGCCATAGCCACTGCTTTGGTGTTCTAACTTTCACTACCAGGTAGAAACATTGGTAAAAAGCATGCCTTGGCTTTTTCAAGGGTAAAAATATGCAATACTAATATGTATACCTTCCCTACACATTGTTCCTTTTCTCTCTTAACTACGTTAGCAGCTTGTGATGTGTAGGTTTGTAAGTGACAGATACTCAGCTTCTACTTTTCATATTTGAAAATATGTTTCTGGATATTATTGAGCCGATTAAAAAGTGGATTTTTTTTTTTCCAGCTAGGCCCGGTGGCCTGCAATTTCAGCGACTGGGGAGACTAGGCAGGATCAAAAGTTCTAGGAACATGATAACTTAGGTGACCCTGTTCCAAAATTAATTTTAAATGGTGGCAGGGTGGGGGTACGGTGGAGAGTTTGTTGGGCATGTAGCTGTGTGGTTGAGCATTTCTTGAGTTCCATCTGCATTACCAGTAGGGGCGGGGGAATTTTTTTTTTTTTTTTTTCAGTTAAAATACAATCGCCCACCTCTAATCTCAAATTCTTAGTTTGAAGATCTCTGTGTAGATTTACTAGATTGTACAAGAAATAACTCTTGGTTTTCTTTATTTCTTTGTCATGTATTTGGAATAGATTCCACATTAGTGTCCCAGGTCTATTTTTGTATAATGTCTTTTTAACTTCATAGTGCCCATGATGGAGCAGTGAAAAAGTAGGGACTTAATTATCATATAAAAATACATTGAGGCACTGATAAGCCATGATATGATTGACTTAGAAACTAGAATTCAAGAGAGCATAAGTACAATTTTTCAGCTATATATTGGAGAAGTACTCAAGACAGCAAATTACAAAACTTGTTTAACCCAGTTGTAAACTGTGTTGTTTTCAAGATACTAATATCATACATATGAAGCACTTCTGCAGGTGACCTGGGGCAGAGTGTAGTCTTCCAAGATAAAGGAATTGAGATTGGCCTTCCTATCACCTGAGGTAAATAGTCCAAGTCAAAGTGACTTCAAAGCAGGTATGTTATCTGCCTCCTCAATTCATTGCTGCCCATAAATCTTTTCTGTATATAAATTTTGGAGCCAATATCAACCATATTGCATGAAATTCTATCCCTTACATGTTAATTATACTATTACATACTAATTTCATACTATTGCATGAAATTCTACTACTTATATACTAATCTTAATAACTACCCTGAATTCTGCAAATTACAGATGGAGAGCCTGTGACTCAGAAAGGTTGAGTAACCTCCCAGGATCATAGAAGTAGATAAGAAGTGGCTGAACCCTGCTGTCTAAAAGCTGTGTTCAGAAGGAAAGAGTAACTGATGAATTAACTTAATCCATGTGTCATGTATGGGCCTATCTTTGAGGGAATATTAGTAACTTGCTCTTTAAAATTGTCATGATTTTTCCATTAAAACAACTGATCTTTGTGCAGCAGAAATTTGAACTTTCTGACCTGAATTGTGTTTGTAAGCAGGTGTTAGGAAGTAATTAGTAGGCAATGGTGTAGATCCTGGTCACCTGTTACAGCTAGAAAGAGACTTCAGCTAGCATCTGAATGGTATATTATAAAGTGGCTGACTTCACACACTTAGGCATTATTTTCCCTTACTGAGAAGTTACCCACAACTGTATTCTTCTGGATAGGATCAGACAAGAAACTGCCTACTACATGCATATCATCAAAAGGCCAGAAGTACCCATCCCAGGAGGATTGACTGTAGCTCTGGACACCACACAAGATCACCAGAGGGACTGGGGTTGTGGTTCAGTGATAGAGCATTCACCTAGCATGTGTGAGACACTGGGTTCAATCCTCAGCATCACATAAAAATAATAATAAATACAGAAAATAACGAGATTGTGTCCACTACAACTAATAATATTTAAAAAAAAAAAAAAAAGATCACCAGAGAAAGAAGCTGAGGGAGCCACTAAAACCTTATGCCAAGGCTTTTTCAAACCTGTCCTCCAGCTGTAACTCTTTCCAGTCTTCAATCCAGGGAGATATGTAGGTTGAGAGACACTGGCCAGTGTCACTCAATAATAAGGAAGTAAGGAGTCCTCTTCTTTATACCTGCCTGATTAACATTTACTCCTAGGAAACAATTAATATTTAAAAAGCTCAATATTTTAAAATCCTTATATATTGACTGCTATTTTGGGTAAATTGCTATTAAATCAAGGCAAGATGGCAAAACATGAAAATGGGAAATTGGCTTTTATGTTTTTAGCCTTATTCTGTTTTACAGAGTTGTATTTGCATCGTGAAAGCATTTACCTTCAAATGACTTCTTGAAAATGTATGAAAAATAAAAGGATGATCATCTGTCCTGTACATTGCTTTGATCATTACAGAAATCAGTTGGAGTTCTCTTCTAACTGTGAGCCTGGCAGCTGAAATGGGCAGGAGAGAAGCCATTCTGTGTCTTCTTCCTTGTGATGCTACTACAGAGGCCTGGCTTATGAAAAGCAGAGGACATTCGGTTTAGACAGATGGAGGGTAGGGTCATTTTCAAAATGAAAACGAGTGTACTAATCACACTGGGAAATTGGCACGACCATCACTGCTGCTGTGATAGACTGACTTTTATTTAGTCTCTAATAGGCATTTGGGGAATAGATTGGCTTTTTAGGGGAGATGGAGGAAAGAAGGCCCTTTAATTAACAATAGAAATTCTAGAAAGCAATAAACTAGGTAGGATATTATAAATAATCACAAAGAATCATTTTGTTTGCAACAGAATCTTAAAAGCTGGAGCATATATAAAAAAGTAAGTCTGTAATACCATTCCCAGCAATAAGAAGGCATTTGTGTTAATAAATGATTTAATGCCTTAAAGAAAGGAATTGGGCTTTCAGGAAATGGCTTAGGACTCAGGGTGGATTTTGCTGAATAAGGGGAGGCAAATTTACTGTGTAGAATTCCATTGAGGCATAGTGTGGCAGGGCTGAAAAGCATGATATTTGGTTCTGAATTTATTTATGTTTCTGCCTGCCAAAATGTGACATGACTAAATTTCATGTATTCTATTTGGCAGTCTCTTTTAAAACTAGTTGTGAGTAATTATTTCTTTTTGTTTTGTAAAGATAACTAGTTATTGTTGTTGGTTTCATTGCTTATTGATGAATATTTAAACCATAGCTGTGGTCAAATATTTTTCTTAATAAAAGAAAAACTTCTTGCAAAACCGTTTTCTGGTTATTTTGTGTCCCATTCATTTTTGACCATTTTCTTCAGGATGGCCACTTTGGGAGGCTCAGTTTTCTTACTTTCTCTGGAGTCCAGATTGACTTTTTGTCCCTATGCAAACATTAATGATTGTAGGACTGACCCTCCTGCTATAATTCCTCTTATTTTATACTCCCCAGAACGCAAAACAGGGAACAAAAGAATAAATTAAGCTGGGTGCAGTAGTGCATAACTGTAATCCTGGCAACTCAGGAGACTAAGGTAAGAGGATCACAAGTTCAAGGTCAGCCTGGGCAACTTGGTGAAATCCTAAGCAACTTAATGAGACCCTATCTCAAAATAAAAAAATAAAAAAGGCTGGGAATGTAGCTCAGTGGTAAAGCACCCTTGGGTTCAATACCCAGTACCCAAAACAAAAAGAGAATAAATTAGTGCCAAATTTGTAACGTAGTTGACTGATGTTTAGGAGCATATGTTCAGTCTTTCAAGACTTTTTGAAAGGATTCTATACCAGATCACTTGGAAAGATTAGGTAACGTCATTATGAGATTAAATTTTTTCTTGGGTAGTTCCATCTCTGTTAGTATTTTAAATAGTAATGTAGTTCCTTCTTGAATATACCTTGCTTTTGATCAAACTGTTTCTATTTCTGGGTTTATGGTGTTTTGTCCAAATTAACTTTATACAATGATATGGCCTATAAAAAGGAATTGGCAAAGAAGATACTGTGTGGGTACTGCCATTGAAAATTCATTCCCCAGAGTTGGAGCTTGCTGTGGGAGGCATTGATGGGCTGTTACCCAAATTACTTCATTTGAGCATCTTTCACTGCTTTCATTTTCAAAAGGCAAAAAATATTGAAGTATCACTTTTTTCCCTAAAACTGGTACCATTCACAGCCAGATATATCCTGTATACCTGTTTCTATTTCTGCTATAGAAATAAAATTAAAAATTGATGGAAAATGTCTTTGAAACCCATGATCAAAAGATAAGATTCCTAAAAGAAAATGTTATCAGCCTCTGAACACATTTTCTGGCTTGAAAAGTTTGCAAACAGTTTTT